CTGCATGCTAAGGATATTAGTTGATTTTATGATATTGCTTAATACATACTGTTTCCTATTTTGAGTTGGCCGATGATATCTACTCAGTACCCGTGTTTTGTACTGACCCCTACTTTTATTGTTTTCCTCTTGTTTATTTGTGGAGTGCAGCAAACGTGCCGTCATCTTCGACTCAACAGTAATTCAAGCCAGTCTTACTACATCGGAAATTCAGGGTGAGCTAATGCTTCTAGCTTGGACTGGATCTTCTTCTTCAAGTCTTGATGCCTTGAACTTCCGGCATGGACTAGCTTTTACTTGTTTTAGCTTTTAGAAAACTCTTAGTTTAGTAATTGATCATAGATGTTCTTGTGATGATGACTTCCAGATTTTGGGGATAATAATAGTTATTGATTTTATTAATGAGTTTAAGTCTTCCGCATTACTTTATGTTGATATTACATTGAAATGTTAAGGTTTAGATTGGTTGGTTCGCTCACATAGGAGGGTAAGTGTGGGTGTCAGTCGCGGCCCGGATTTGGGTCGTGACACTTTGTTGCTTTTTTTCTACCTTTTTTTTTCATCTTCCATGTTTGATTAAAGCTTGTTGCTCGACTTTAAAATTGATGTGCAGGAAATGTAAGTCGTTACAAGTGAATAAGATTTCAAAATACTTGAAATGTTGGATAGGAACTCATATATAAATTTTGAAACTGTTTAAAAGAGATATGAATGATATATATCGATGTATATAAATTGATGACACATAAATATACATGATTATAAACATTTTTATAATATTGATACATCACATATACATATGACCATTCTGTTTGAAAATAATTTTTGTCACAGATATATATTGGCAAGTAACTCTAATTTAACTGGAAGTTCACAATGAGGTTTAAGGGATATTTGGATTAACTTTTTTTAGCGACTTATAAGTTAAAAGCTAAGGGTTCTTTGGTGGAAAAATTTATGTAGAAATTAATTATCGTGAAATAAATTATTGTAAAATAAGTTATTCCACCATATATATGGAAAACTTATTTCATTACTATGATACTGATGATAGGATGAATAATCTAAGGACTATCTAATATCTCAAGCTAAACACATGATAAAGTGATTATGCATTTCGTTTTGAAATTATCATATATTATATATCTCATACAAACGACTCCTAAAAGTCATAAATTAGGATATCCAACTTTTGATAAAAATTACATCTTAAATTGCGAAATACTTTCATTTTTTTTATAAAAAAAAACATAAAAAACAAAGTCACTTAAACAAAATTGAAGAACTTGGTCCTCTTCCTTGGAGCTTGAAGCTTCTTGCAAATGGAGGGTTTTGGAGAAAAGGATTTGGAGAAATTTGATTTGATCTTTAGGGTTTGAATTGGTGGGTGAAATGAGGTTCAAAATGATCCCCCAAAGTTTCCAAAATACCTCTACACTATTTGGACCCTTTTCCAACTTCTAATCTGACTTAAAAACGATGCAAACAAATCTGGGACTTGTTTGCACGACGCGAGGTCATTTTTCAGAATTTGGTTCTGGAAAATATTTTGGGACAGTAGGGTATGTGTTGGCCCCGCGTCGCAGGTAAAAAAATTCCCATCAAGTGATGTCTGCTTGTCCTTTCGAAAAGATAACAAAATAGCTCGCTTCAAGTTGATTCGGCACTCCATTGCAAATGTTTTGCATATCCAGAAGATCCCAACACCCCTTTGCTTGCAATTAATTAGATACAATATTTTTCATTGCATTTTGGCTATTTTAGTTTGTCTTATTAAGATGCTAGCCAGATGCTATATTTGTTTGCTATAAAATGAATGACAAACTTGGACTTAATTTGCTAGGGTATCGAATTTCAGATAGATTTTTTGCATAAATTATCTTCTTAGAATTGCAAGTATATGTATTCATCAAGTGCTTAAGTAAACATTTTATTTTTTAAACGTTATGGAATGCAACTCTTGGATGGTTTGGCATATATATGTTTATATCTTTTTTTTCTAATCGTCACTTATTTATAGCAAATTAATTACTATTTTGCAGCTTTGTGAACAGTTATAAGTCATGATGGAAGAAAAGAGAGAGAAAATCTACCTTATCACTTACTTTAATATTGCGTTCGTCTTAAAATAGTTGTCGCGTTCTGTTTCTCGAGACCTAAATCCACTAGCCTCACCTGATAAAGGAGGATTAGAATTAAGCCAGGATTGAGCGACCAAAAGAAAGGAAGAAGTCTTTCAAAACATACTAATTCCTCCCTATCTTCTTCAAGATGGATGAGCAGCTAGCACTCATGCCTTAATAAGGATGAACAACAAAAATATAAGAAACTATCACCAGAGGATAAAGAAGGTGACCACATATTATTAATTATTATCCAATCAAGAAAAAAGAAGAATCTATAAACTATGGACTCATTTCATTAAATGGGAAAAAAAGAATAACCTCAACTATCTAAAAGAGAAATTGATTATGTTGTGGAGAGTGATTGAGAAAGACCGTCAAATCACGCACTTCAAGAAAATTAAAACTATTAACTACCCTGGTGAGTCTAATTTTAAGTTGGAGAAAGAAGCAAGGGATTGGGCGCATCTTCACTAAATTAGCTCACGACTATTATATAACAAAGTTTTATAAAGAGGAAAACTTGCTGCAAATTCTACAACAAGGACCTTGATTCATCAACATATTATGTTAAAAAGTGAGATTCAAATTTTGTTACCTCCAAAGCCTGAGAAAATTTCAACTGTACCTATTTCGACAATTTCACCTTTCTTTTGATTTAGAAAGGCTACTCTGCCCCTTAGAAATCAGTAGGTGTTTGCTTGATTTGTAGTCCAAGGAAGAAAATGTGTTCGCGTATCATGTTCATTTCAAACTCAACACTCATCTAAGTTATGGCCATATTTTCACGTCACCTTTTTTTTTATGTCCTTTCTATTAATTACTAAATACATTAGCGTTGAATAAATAAAGGAAAAAAGATACTTATTAAAAAGGAGAAAATGAAAATAACTATCCAACAACTCCATACATAATTGATATTTATAGATTGATACAAGAATTAGATAGAAGACAGTAGTAATTTTTTTAGGTGTAAGATTTTTTTTATAATTATCAATCGAATTGATTAATGAAACTAATGAAGTAAAAAATTCAAAAAAAAAATGTAATATAAAAGATAGTAGTAATTTTCTATACCAAGAGATGTGTCACATCATTTGGTCTATATCTAGCTTTATAATTATGTATGTAATTTATGGTAGTTTTTTATCCTAATGAGAGTAAAGATGAAGTTAATTTCTTCTCCCATATATTCTATAAATGTGTTGGATTTATTTCTAATTAAATATTTTCACTCATATTTTATATAGAAGAGCTTGTTAAATTCAACAATATGTACTTAAATCAAGTGAAATATTCTTAAGGACATTGTCATCGACACACCTCAAACCGTAAGTATTTCCTTAAATGAGGTCATTTAAGATAGACTCACACTCGTAATTCAAAGTAGACTTGTTTGGAAATTCAAACCACCAAAATGTTAGAATCACAAGAACAATAAAGTGTCATGCATGATATTCCTGTTAATTTGAGCATAAATTTTAAAGTTGAAATTTAAAAATTTGAATTTCTGGAAGTTGTCATATCATGTGGTTCACAAATGAATCTATAATTTCAAGTCCACAAGTTGATTTTGAGAAAACCAAATCAATTGGATATAACAGCATCGTGACTTAATTAAAACCCCAAAATCTATTGTCATCAAAACTAATTTACGAAATAAATGTTGTAGTTTCTCAAATGCCTCCGTTTCTTGTTTTAGCTGATGAAAGGCCTGATATGCTGTGCAACACTAATGGCACAATCAGCTCATATTACTGTTCAATCTAATTTAATAACAAGAAGTAGTGTTGTACTACTATATTGATAATTCCATATTTCTCTTAGTAAGTGCTTTAATTTGATTTTTTATACCTTATGTCACTAATACTGTGATTGAACTTAATATGGTAATTGCATTAGTTGGAGCACTTATCATGGAATCAAACAATATCAATGAAATGGGAAAATATCTCGTCCTTAAGACATGAGAGTTAAAGGTATGTCCATTACGTACTTTTTCTTTGTTCCTCTTTGGTTTGGGACAAAACTAGGCAATAGAAAAACCTACTACAAAGGCCTAGGGGAGTGTAGACAAGAATAAGAGAGAACCAAGCCAGCTAGGGACTTACATCATAAATTTTCTTCTTTCTTATTGGTTTGGTAGTGCTTTCCTTTCTCTGTGGCGAGAAGATAGAAATGGACTCACACCATTTGGACCGTTGGGGACTTGCCCTATTTTAGTATTTCAAAAAACATTTTTTTTCTTTGGATTAGTTTTTAAGAATTTAAGTTTTGCAAACTATCTTTGTATTGGAGTAGCAAACTTGCATTAGTATATGTTTTGATTCAAATAATGCTCATACACTGCATATACCTTTTAAATAATTCACATTTATGAATTAACTCAAAAATATATATTGTTTAAAAATTATTTCAATATCCTAAAAAAGATGATATGATAAATTTAAATATATTTCTATAATCGCCGCAAATTTCACTAGTTAGTATAAATAAAACATAGAATAATAGTGCTAGTGTAAATAAGTAGTAATAGGGTCAGGTGACTGAGTCTATAATAGAAGTTAAAAAGAAAGAAAAAAAAAAGAAAAAAACTATCTTTGTGCATTCCAAGACAAAGCAATAGTAGTCACATTCACGTGAGTGTAAATAAGTGGCAATTTATAGGGTTAGGTGAATGAATCTTAAAAAGAAGTCAAAAAAAAAAACAATCTGATTATTATTCCAACACAAAGCAATACAGTAGTCATCACAAGCATCATGATGATTGAAACACAATAGAATCCTCGTGAGCGAGATGTGTGCATGGTTCTCGTGAATCAAACTCCTATATATAGTAAACAAGTTCTTCAACAATTTCCCATCCTACCATCTATCATGGCAAACGAGTTCCATGGATCTTCTTTAAGGAGCTCTTCTCCCAACAACCCTAAGTTTATCCAAATCATTACTTCATTAGATGAATTACACTGTCTGGTAAGTAATTAATTGTAATTTTAGTCCTTGTAAATTTTTGATTTAGTCCAAGATGTAAGTTAAAATAATTGTGTTTGTATGAAATTAAATTTGTCATTTCTTTTGCACACAGAGGATTCCAGTAGTATTTGCACAAAGACACTGCGAGAACATGTTAAACCCCGTGTTTCTTGAGGCTCCCCATGGAAAACCTTGGGAGGTTGAAGTGGAAAATTCTCAAGGCCAAATTTGGCTAGCCAAGGGATGGAGTGAATTTTGTGACTATTACTCAATAAGAGTCAAGAGCATATTAATTTTCACATACAACCCGCGTTGTCACTTTGTTGTCGCTATATATGATCAGAGTAAAACAGAAATTGAATATCCAATAGATCAAGATATTGAATCAGATGAACAAGAGGAAGATGTTCTAGTTGCCCAAGCTAATGCTAATGTAATCGATGAAGATATTCTAATTCTCCAATCTAATGCTAATGTAATCGAAGAAGATATTCCAATTCTCCAATCTAACGCTAATGTAATCGAGGATGAAGAGGAAGATATTCCAGTTAATAGCCCTCAAACTAATGCTAATGTAATTGATCAACGTAAGTAAACATCTTAAGTGCTTTATTAGCTATTAATTAAGTGAATTCATCAGTAGAATTGTACTAGTTGTTATACTTATGTCAAGTTGTTGCAGATAAGGAGGTTGGAGAAGCTAATAGTATAAGTGAAAAAGTTGGTCCAAATAATTATAGTAGTCGATACAGTTTGGTGGACTTAACTGGTGACAATCCGTTTTTTGAAATGGTTATAAAAAAGTCACATGCTACTCGTATGGTAAGGTTTAATAGTTTTACATTGTGTTTTTAAATTCGCTAGATTTGCACATTCTAGTTATTTTCTTGAAAATCTAATGATCCTGTTTGTTTGATGAATATGTTTTTTAGGCTATCCCGTTGAGATTCGCCCAACAAACAGACATAATAAACATGAAGAATATGAGGTTGGTTAATGAAGAAGGAGTAGAATGGAAAGTGAAAATAGAGTATACTAGGAGTACGGTTATCATAAAAAAAGGATGGACTGCCTTTCGAAAAGATAACAAAATAGCTAATGGTGAAACTTGTCGCTTCAGGTTGATTCGGGGCCCCATTGCAAATGTTTTGCAGGTTCAGAAGATCTCAACACCCCTTTGCTTGCAATAAATTAGATACAATTGTTTTGATTGCATTTTGGCTATTTTAGTTTGTCTTATTAAGATGCTACTTGTACTTAATTTGCTAAGGTATCAAATTTCGGATAGCTTTTGCATAAATTATCTTCTTATAATTGCAAGTATATGTATTCAACAAGTGCTCAAGTAAACATTTTATTTTGTAAACGTTATGGAATGTAACTCTTGGATGGTTTGGCATATATATGTTAAATCTTTTTTTTTTCTAATAGTCACTTATTTATAGCAAATTAATTACTATTTTGCAGCTTTGTGAACCGTTACAAGTCACGAACGAAGAAAAGAGAGAGAAAATCTACCTTATCACTTACTTTAATATTGTGTTCGTCTTAAAATAGTTGTCGCGTTCTGTTTCTCGAGACCTAAATCCACTAGCCCTACATGATAAAGGAGGATTAGAATTAAGCCAGGATTGAGGGGCCACAAGAGAGGAAGAAGTCTTTCAAAACATACTAATTCCTTCCTGTCTACTTCAAGATGGATGAGCAGCTAGCACTCATGCCTTAATAAGGATGGACAACAAAGATATAAGAAACTATCACCAGAGGATGAAGAAGGTGACCACATATTATTAATTATTATCCAATCAAGAAAAAAGAAGAATATATAAACTATGGACTCATTCCATTAAATGGGAAAAAAAGAATAACCTCAACTATCTAAAAGAGACATTGATTATGTTGTGGAGAGTGATTGAGAAAGACCGACAAATCACGCACTTCAAGAAAACTTAAACTATTAACTACCCTGGTGAGTCTAATTTTAAGTTGGAGAAAGAAGCAAGGGATTGAGCGCATCTTCACTAATTCAGCTCACGACTATTATATAACAAAGTTTTATAAAGAGGAAAACTTGCTGCAAATTCTACAACAAGGACATTGATTCATCAACATATACATTTTATATGTCAAAAAGTGATATTCAAATTTTGTTACCTCAAAAGCCTGACAAAATTTCAACCGTACCTATTTCAACAATTTCACCTTTCTTATGATTTAGAAAGGCTACTGTACCTCTTGGAAATCAGTAGGTGTTTGCTTAATTTGTAGTCCAAGGAAGAAAATGTGTTTGCTTATCATGTTCATTTCAAACTCAATACTCATCTAAGTTATGGCCATATTTTCATGTCACCTTTTTTTTATGTCCTTTCTATTAATTACTAAATACATTAGCGTTGAAAAAGCAAAGCAAAAAAGATACTTATTAAAAAGGAGAAAATGAAAATAACTATCCAACAACTCCATACGTAATTGATATTTATAGATTGATACAAGAATTAGATAGAAGGGAATTAAGATGACATGTAGTTAATTAAGTGAGACTTCAAAGGTATATGGTTTTTTATATAACTCATGAGATTTATTTAGGTGTAATATTTTTTTATAATTATCAAATGAATTGATTAATGAAAATAATGAAGTAAAAAATTCAAAAAAATGTAATATAAAATAGTATTAATTTTCTATACCAAGAGATGTGTCACATCATCTGGTCTATGTCTAGCTTTATAATTATGTATGTAATTTATGGTAGTTTTTTCTCCTAATGAGAGTAAAGATGAAGTTAATTTCTTCTCCCATATATTCTATAAATGTGTTGGATTTATTTCTAATTAAATATTTTCACTCATATTTTATATAGAAGAGCTTGTTAAATTCAACAATATGTACTTAAATCAAGTGAAATATTCTTAAGGACATTGTCATCGACACACCTCAAACCGTAAGTATTTCCTTAAATGAGGTGATTTAAGATAGGCTCACACTCGTAATTCAAAGTAGACTTGTTTGGAAATTCAAACCACCAAAATGTTAGAATCACGAGAACTATAAAGTGTCATGCATGATATTCCTGTTAATTTGAGCATAAATTTTAAAGTTGAAATTTAAAAATTTGATGTCACGACCCAAAAACGAGCCGCGAGTGGCACCCACACTTGTCCTACTATGTGAGCGAACCAACCAATCTAAGCCCCAACATTTCAAACATAATAAACATAAAAAAAAATAATGCGGAAGACTTAAAACTCATTAACGAAATCAATAATCAACTTCTAAAACTAAAACTTATCATTATCCCCAAAATCTGGAAGTCATCATCACAAGAACATCTATCCTCAAGTTACTAATTCTAAGAGTATCTAGAAAGCTAGAATAAATAAAAAGCTAGTCCATGTCGGAACTTCAAGGCATCAAGACATGAAAACGAAGATCCAGTCCAAGCTAGAAGCGTTAGCTCATCCTGCAATCCGGTGTAATGAAGACTGGCTAGAGTTGCGGTTGAGTTGTAGACGACGGTACGTTTGCTGTACTCCACAAATAACAAAGAAAGAAACATACAAGTAGGGGTCAGTACAAACACAAGTACTGAGTAGATATCATCGGCCAACTCAAAATAGAAAACAATATATATCAGATAATATCATAAAATCAACTATAATACTCAACATGCGGCATTTACAATTACCATAACCCTTGGTCACAACACCAAGCACATCAATGAGGACTCACGCCTCCCCATCATACTCATTTGGGAATTAGGTTCATTAAATTGAGTATATTAACATCTTTCAAGATTCATTATCTTTATTTCTCTTGTGTCGGTACGTGACACTCCGCTCCATATACTATCCTGGTGCCAGAACGTGACACTCCGATCCTCATCATATTATCCTGGTACCGGAACGTAGCACCCGATCCATATACTATCCTGGTGTCGGAACGTGACACTCCAATCCTCATATACTATCCTGGTACCGGAACGTGGTACCCGATCCATATACTATCCTGGTGTCGGAACGTGACACTCCGATCCTCATATACTATCCTGGTACCAGAACGTGGCACCCGATCCATATACTATCCTGGTGTCGGAACGTGACACTCCGATCCTCATCATACTATCCTGGTACCGGAACGTGGCACCCGATCCCCTAATCTCACTACTTTCGTTCATCAAGCCTTCTTTTATACCAAGGCATCATCATTAACAAAGTAGATTAGGGTTTTTCAAGATTTAGGATTCAATAGCTTCATCATGCTTATTTATTCACAATTATATAATCACATTCATGCAAGCATACAATTAAGCATATAGAAGAGTTACAACACTACCCAATACATATCATTCGCTATTAAGAGTTTACTACGAATAGCATAAACCATAACCTACCTCCACCGAAGAATTCGTGATCAAGAATCTACTTTTCAATGCTTTGCTTTCCTCTTCGTTCTCTCCTCTTGATCGATCGTTTCTCCCTCTCTTTGTTCTTTCTATTTTTCTTATTCAAATCCTTTTTCTTTTACCCTAATTAGCATATAATTAAGTATAAAAGATGACAAAAGTAACCCACTAATTAATTCAAGGTTATCTCCTTTAACCCCCAAGTAATTGAATTATTAGTATTACCCACTAACTTTATAATTATAAGCAGGAATAGTCCAAAATGCCCCTTAAAACATTTAACAGAAATCCGACCCCGTCAGGGTTACGTAGCCTGTGACGGGCCGTCGTGCCTGCGACGGTCCGTCCTGCTGAGTCATCACAGAGTTCAGAGACTCACTTTTTATTTAAGACCCTGTGACAGTACGTCGTGCCTACGACGGTCCATCCTGCCATTTCGTCGCGAAGTTCAGAGAGTCGATCTCAGTACCCAAATCTCAGAATTCTAAGTGTTTTGGAACGAGACACCCTCGACGGTCCGTCGTGCCCATGACGGTCCGTCGTGGGATCCTTCGACTCAGACAGTTATTACCAGAAATAAACTCTACAGCTCAAAACGACTAAATAGGTCATTACAATAGATACCAATTTACCCATCGTTCGTCCTCGAACGATCACAAGAAGAAAAACAAGGGCGAAAAGGAGTACCTGAATCTGTAAACAGGTGTGGGTATCTTTCTTACATATCAGCCTCCTTCTCCCAAGTGGATTCTTCAACCGGCCGATTCTTCCATTGAACCTTGATGGATGCAATCTCCCTTGACCTCAACTTGCGGACTTCTCTATCTAAAATAGCAATAGGCTCCTCCTCATAAGACAGATTCTCATCAAGCAGAACTGAATCCCAACGAATAATGTAGTTTCAATCGCCATGGTATCTTTTCAACATAGACACATGAAATACCGGGTGCACTCCTGACAGCCCTGGGGGCAAGGCTAATTCATAAGCCACCTCCCCCACGCGCTTCAGAACTTCAAATGGACCAATATACCTCGTACTAAGCTTACCTCGCTTACCAAACTGCATCACCCCTTTCATGGGCGAAACCTTTAGCAAGACTTGCTCTCCCTCCATAAACTCCAAGTCTCTAACCTTTCGATCTGCATATTCCTTTTTCCTACTTTGAGCCGCTAAAAGCTTTTCTTGAATGCATTTCACTTTATCTAACGATTCCCTCAGAAGGTCAGTACCCCAAGGTCTAACCTCAAATGCATCAAACCACCCAATGGGAGATCTACACCTTCTCCGATACAGTGCCTCAAATGGGGCCATATCAATACTTGAGTGATATCTATTATTGTATGAAAACTCTGCTAAGGTTAAGAAGTTGTCCCAATGGCCACCAAATTCTATCACACATGCACGAAGCATATCCTCCAACACTTAAATCGTTCGCTCCGACTGACCATCGGTCTGAGGGTGAAATACAGTACTAAGGTCCAACCTAGTACCTGATTCAGCATGCAATGTCCTCCAAAACTTAGAAGTAAACTGCGTACCTCTATCTGATATGATGGAAAGTGGAACTCCATGCAATCGAACAATTTCTGAGATGTAAATTTTGGCTAACTTCTCTGCATTATAAGTCACCTTGACCGGAATGAAATAAGCAGACTTAGTTAACCTATCAACAATTACCCAAATGGATTCATACTTACCCAATGTCTTTGGAAGACCAACCACGAAGTCCATTGCAATTCTCTCCCACTTCCATTCAGGAATGGGCATTCTCTGAAGTGTTCCTCCGG